TTTAAAGATGATAGTCAACACCTTAAAGCGCACCCGGAAGGCCACAGGCAGCCAATGCAGCTCGCGCAGCAGCGGTGTCACGTGGGAGCGCCGAGTCCCCCCCAACACCGCCCGCGCGGCCGCATTTTGGACCAGCTGGAGCCTCCGGGTGCTCCTCAAGGGGAGCCCCATGTAGAGAGCATTACAGTAGTCCAGGCGGACTTGAACTAGCTTCTGCCCAAGTGTTATTCAATTGATATAACGGGACATCCTAGAACTCAGGATGGCCAGATCTGTTTACCAGAGCATCCTCTATGGAGAAAAGAGCAAGCAGATTCAATCGGATACTTCAGTAACTCCTGGAGCACATTTTCAGGGTGAACTTAATTCTGCACCATGGCGTTAACCATGGGATGGAGAAAAAGAAATTTATCCTTGCTTCGGGAACAGACCTCAAGCGTCTAAGGACTGCCATAGAAACATCCAGGAAACCAACTTTAAGGATGCTGGTAAAATGACAAGGGATGATCACTGTGTATCTGGGCTCAATCTTATGGGACCATTTCTTCTCCTGTGACTCCAAGATCACATCACCTGTAAATTCTCTCTGCACATCATAATGCCAAACAAAGCATTATCTCAACCGATCAGGCATAAGGAATACTACTCAGAGAACCAATTAGGGATCAGACGAACAGAGATGCCAGCTTAATGGGATGGAGAGCAATTTCCAAAACAGGTCAATAAGGGACGAGTCCACTCTGTCTATCAACCACTAGGATGAGAGGACAGCACAGCTGGTTCTGGAGGTGCTTCCATAGCAGATGGGTGGGCAGTGTTATAATTATGCAAATGGACAAGGTGGACCCAGATCAAGGGCCCTTTAGAAAGAGGCCACCTGATTAAAGGCATGAATGGAGAAATTCCTATTTTCCCTATCAGCAGAATGTCCAAGAATGACTGAATACCACAGCTGATGGGCTAAGCGGTCAGGTCCATTGTTTCAGGATCCAGAGGTTCACAACCGTGGACGCTAGGCAAGTGAGAAGCTGCTTCTGGTTTCAAGACAACAGAACAGTGACCAATGTCGTGGGTGGAAGCTTGTCAAAGAGAGATTCAACCTAGAAGAAGACATTTCCTGACAATGAGAACAATTAATCAATGGAACAGCTTGCTTCCTTGGGTTGTGGGTGTTCCATCACTGGAGGTTTTTAAGAATAGACTGGACAGCCATTTGATTGGGATGGATAAAAGCTCCCGCCTTGAGCAGGGGGTTGGATTAGGAAGCATCCTATGCCTAGCCCTATGATTCTATATCCTACTGGCCCATTTACCAGAAAAACTGACCTGTGCTTTCCCCTCCAGTTTCAGTGCTACCCAAAATAGTGCACAAATGAAGATGCCTGAGGCATGGGGGATTTTAATTGTTCTATTCTGGCCCCAGAGAACACTTTAATGGATGAGCAAGGAGGCTGAAATTCACAGACTTCCTGTCCTCCAGCAGAGGTTACAGCTTATATAGAGATGGGGCACCGGCATCCTAGACAAGGATGCAATCCAGTTATTGTTTTCTCCTCCTGGGACTTGTCATTGCTTCTTAGGGTTTTCATGACTGCTCCCTTTCAACTTGTCAGTTATCCTCCCAAGAGCATGCTCGCCTAGAAGCCAGCAAGGCAGTCCTAAATCCTGTCTGGGAGGATTGAGGAGAAGTGAGAAGGGATTTGTGTGTATTCTGTTAAGACAGAGTGGGGCTAAGATTGGATCTCTATGCCCCCGGTCAGTTCAAGATTCCAACAAATGTAGGAGATTGTATTTTCCCAGATCTGCCAGAATGAACCAGGCACAAGTCAGATGCCTGCAAGGGTACCAAGAAAATCCTTCAACTCAAGCAAGACAGAAGGTTGAGACCCTATTTGTCTTCTACCTTTTGGGCACCAGGGACCAGTTTCCTGGAGAGAGGTTTTTCCGCGGACCGGAGGGGACGGGTTTTTGCGTGCTGCCTGCATCCTGCAGATGGGGCTTTGCTTGTTTGTGCAGACCGGTTGCCGGCATGCTGTGGACCGGGAACGGTCCACGGACCGGGGGTTGGGGACCCCTGTTCTACAGAACAGGAAGCCTGAATGAGTGACGTCATCCACCATCAGCAGGAAGGTCAGGAAACACACTCGTCCAGTCAGCCATTAAGAAGTCCATTGGCAACAGGATCCTTGGTGGTGGGTGGATGGACTACCTTGATGGGTAAGACATTTGGAGTCCCATTAATGGACCTTTGTAGAGCAGTTGCCTGGACAGAACTATTCATGTTCACGGAGACATTTGCCTCCACAAACACAACCTTTGAACACATGGTGCCATTTACTGAGCCTTCCTGGGAAATCTAACCTAGTATATACACCCTTTGTGTCACCTATCTTTTCAGTAACCAAGAATGGTGGTTAGAACCTTTCAAGTGTACAATTGCGATACTGGATCGAACGCACAGAAAATTGGGCAAACCCGAGAAGGAAAGAAATACGGATTTAACGTTACAATCTTCGAAGGAAAGAATTCAAAGCTTCCCTGTTTAATATTCACAACAAGATAATGTGGAGTGGAAAGGGACTGATGCAAAGTTATCCAGAGAGAGCTTTGTTGCAGAATGGAGGATATGAATTTGGGTCTGCCTAATCATAGCCTACCGTGGTAACTGGATTCACATTACCCTAGGGCAGAATGTGGGGGGTTTTTTGGTTCTGATTTAACAGTTGTTTGAGTCCAACCTTTTTTTAATTTACAGTTTAGCCTGCTGAAGATTCAGCCATTTGTGGCTTATTTCATAGACCGTGAATAAAATTATGGCTCACTATGATGTATGAATCCAGTTACAGCTGGGTTCAACATTCCAAGGTATAATGTGCTGAGCATGTTGTGGCCATTCTGGCTTGTTAAACCATGGTTTAGCAAAACTTTAAACAATACCGGCTATGTTAATATCACACTGAACATCAAGCCAGTCAACTATATTTTGCCTAACGTGTGTGAATTATGCTGGGTGGTTAATTGAAAGTGTTCTATGCACCCATGCGGAACGTCATATACAACAGCCAACACCTTAGTCACAATATTCTTTAACTTACTCTAGAAGGATCGTGTCAAACTAGGAATCTTGTTAAACATTGTGCTCTGCAAATCAGGTTCAGTTGATCAGTGTGTGAACCCAACATTAGATACAGAATCCTGTCATGGATGAGTTACAGGTAGCAAGAGTTTCTGTTGTTAAACAAGGCAGTTGTTAAGTGCATCATTCCCAATTTTATGACCATTTTTGTCATAAAGTTGCAGTTGGTGGTTGAGTGAATCCTACGGTCTTTAAGCAAATATGGCTTTTCCCATTGACTGCTTGCTGAAAGCCAGCTGAGAAGGTTGTCAAATAGCAATCATATGACCCCAGGACACTACAACCATTGTAAATACAGGCCTGATGCCAAGCAACCAAATTGTGATCCTGTGACTGTAGAGATGCTATGTCGGTTGTGACAGCTGGTTGTAAATCACACGGTAACTTTGAACACGCCCTAAAAGAATGGTTGTAAGTTGAAGACTAACATATTATGCTCTTGTAGGAACTGTTCTTCACAACAATGCATTTTTGGTGAATTATCTTTATACTAGTCTTTAAAATGTAGCATTAATCAGGTAATGAGCATCAGCTGGTGGATTTGGGTAGCATGTTAAACCATGAATGCAATTGATAAGCTGGAATAGCTGGGTTCATTCAGCATAGTAAGCCAGGGTTTGTATAGCCAGCTTGTTAAACAAGTCACGGTTGATGTCTATAGATAATCTAAATCACAAGCCATAGTTTTATTGCTATAGTGGCTGGGCCAGAACCACACACTAAGCCCAAAGGAATCCGGCTTGGATTATAGTCATACAGCAAACCATCTTTGGGATTGAGTCGTCTCTGATCGGTGCACGCAGGACGAAAAATAGCTGTGATTTGCTGCTTGCATTTTAATTCTTTCTGATGGTCTTTCTTCCTCTCTTGGGTCTTTGCTCTCTTCCAGATCCATCACGAGAGCCTACTATAGGAATTCCGTCGGTGGCTTGCTCCTCTTTGACATTACCAACCGCAGGTCCTTCCAGAATGTCCACGAGTGGCTGGAGGAGACCAAGGCCCACGTCCAGCCTTATCAGATTGTCTTTGTTTTAGTGGGCCACAAATGTGACCTGGACACACAGCGGCAAGTCACCCGACATGAGGCCGAGAAACTGGCCCTCGCCTACGACATGAAGTACATTGAGACCTCGGCCCGGGATGCCATCAATGTGGAGAAGGCCTTCACTGACCTGACTCGAGACATCTATGAACTTGTGAAAAGGGGGGAGATAAGCATCCAGGAGGGCTGGGAAGGGGTCAAGAGTGGCTTTGTCCCCAACGTAGTGCATTCTTCGGAAGAAGTGGTGAAGTCAGATAGGAGGTGCCTGTGCTAACTGGGGAGTCCCCGTGAGGAGGAAGGAGGCTGACTCTTTGAGTAGCCCCAACGGGTTCCATTCTACTCCACAAACTTGGTGGGAAGGTGGAGGTGGTGCGGTTCGGGAGGCAAAGCACCAGCGCTTGGACTGCTGGAGGACAAAAGCCCCAAAGGAGGCTACAACCCCATTATGTACGAATCAATCCAGATGCATGTTAATGTGGTAGAGATAAGGCCATGGGAGTCTGGAAAACTGGGTAGGGATAGTTGCCCTCAGTGGGTTTTATGTACCCTGGTTTAAATAGATTCATATATCACCGCTTTTCTCCTTTTTTTTCTTTCTTTTCTTTTTCTTTTTAAGCCATAGTCCAAGTCGCCTACAATTAGGAAGCGTATTTAGAAAAGGAACAAGGGAAAGAGACCAAAATCATAGCTTCTCCAGAAACCATATGCTTGCTACCTTTTTAAGAATCACCATGGCTGAAATAATAATAATAATAAGGGGCTTGCTGCAATAGAAATTAAACAAGTGAAGACACGGCGGAGCCACTAAAACTGAAGCCAGAGAGGCCGTTACTTTATTAGGAGTTCCAATTTGGATGTCGCAGAAGTTTCCCGGAATTTGATAGTTCAGGTTCCACTATTAATCTGGGAAGAACTCAGCAGCTGAATTGGCAGGGTCAATATTTATTGGTTCTCTCTGAGGTGCACAGCCACGTTCCTTCAAAAGCCCTCGTGCTTCCCCCCCCTTAATTTTTCTCCAGAAAAGCAGCCCCATGAAGAAAGTTGGGGGCGATTGGCCCAGAGCCAAAGTCATCCATGGTTGAGGGGCACTAGAAAGACCCTGGGTGTCCCCGGCCCTAGCCCAACGCTTCAACCATTAAGAGTAGCCATACTGATTCGCAATCCTGAAAGGATTTCCAGAAAAATATTTTCTAACTGCTCTACGAGTCGGCTGTGCAACCCTTTCCATTTTAACTAATTTGCTTTAATTAAAGTAGAATTACACACAGTGGTGAGTCTTCCCTGTGTATTTCATGGTTCCCCCCCCCCCCATCACTTAAACCACGTCCAGTTTGAAGAAATCTTTTCAGTTCTTGCTGGGTCTTTCATCCAAGATCTGAAGGAACTGGAATCTCAGTTGTTAGATTTCTGCCATGATGCAAGAAGAGGTAACCCTACTGACTTATTACTAATAACGGTTATTAAAATACACGATTGCATTTATATTCTACCTTTTCTCGGGCAGTTCCTGCAGGTTTGTGTGGGCTCTCTTTCCCAAGATCACAAACCTCCGAAGCAGGTTGGATGAGGAGGTTAACTGGCCCAAAGTCTCACAGCGAGATCTCGATCACCCCACGATCACCTCATTAGATCACCCTGATCTAACTCCAGTACATTTATCCACTACATCCCTTAATGAAATGTTGAAGGTTGCTTGGGCCACCTGGAAAGTTACATTCCTACAAGTCATAGGAAGAGAGGGCTGATGTGTATGTGTGTCTGTGTGTGAGAGAGAGAGGTATATTTTGTTCTAATTTTCTTCTGGAAAAAGCCAAGATTGGTTAAAGTTGAAGTAGCATTGAATCCGTGCTTCCTGCTCTTGGGACGTTGCATTTCCTGCCGGTCCCAGCTGAGAAGAAAGAGGATGCATAGTAAGATAGGCAAGCGGGAAGGGATGCAAAGCAATCGTTTTGCAAGTCAGTGAACTTGCAAGGATTGTAGTTTGAAAGGCCTCTCTTTCCCTTCTGAACATATTATCAATCCTTTTAAGCATTGCTTAAAGAAAGCTAGATTAGTTAAGCGAGGGAGCTCATGACACAACCTGGAATTCTTAAGAGGAAAATCAGTGTTTTTACAAAATAATTTTTTTAAAAAAAAGATTGGTTTGGTTGTCAAGAGATAGGTAAGACGTGAGCAGAAGGAAGAAATCTGGGAGATGCCGAGTGATGGGAAACTGCTTTTAAAGGCAAGATGAATCTGCATTTTTAGCAGCAGTTCCACTTTTTTTTTTCTTTCTTGTTGATCATTTTGCATCTGGAGCTGGGCTTTTTTTTTTTTTATGGCCATCTGAGAATCTGAATGCAGAATGGAAGGGAAGGAGGGTTGGATTCCTCCAGAGCATTCATTCTTTTAACATTTCTGAAGCATGTTTAGGAAGCAGCCGATGTTAAAGGAAACAATGTTAATTGGAGTGTTGGTTTCTTTTCATGCAAGTTTGCTTTGAGGCAGAAAAGGGCTACACTGTTTTTTAATGACCTACATCAGTGTTTCTCAACCTTGACAATTTTAAGGCACGTGGACTTCAACTCCCAGAATTCCACAGCCAGTAATGCTGGCTGTGGAATTCTGGGAGTTGAAGTCCACGTGCCTTAAAATTGTCAAGGTTGAGAAAAACTGACCTACATATATGCAGAGTATTTACTTTTCTTTCTGGAGGTGACAGTAATAATTTTGTGATCTCTCCCCCCCCCCCCCCCAGGCTCAGATACAAATAGATTGCGCCTGGCTCAGACTGCAAGCTGCAGAAGTGTTCACAAGTAAAACCTACATCCCATTTGCTAAGGACATTGGGAAACCTTTTTATAGCGATGCAATAGATTGAATAAGGGATGAAGCCCACGTATACTCAAGACAATTTTTTTTAAAATCGATAAAGTCAGATCTAGACTAATTTCAAGAACGTTGCTAGCGTTGAACCCAGGAGTAAAATAGATTGTAGGATTGGTTATATTTTGCATGCTCTGGCTCAAATTGTAGCTTTATATACGGAGTAAAGATAGAAAGGCAAAACTCTTCTGCCTGTTAACTAATTAAAGACGTTTTAGTCAATCATCTGAATTTCTGCTGAATAATGGGGGTGGGGGAGGGAACATTTCTATGAAACAAAGAGCTTGGGTTCTTTTTAGATAGTATCTGCGTGGGTGTGACAAACAGATATTACTATTGTAGAAAAATTCCAGCTTCTCGCATAAAGGATTGCTGCTTATGATCTGGTATGTGCTTGCATTGAATATGCTTTTTTTAAAAAAAAAAAATAGGCCTATTTCCCCAGGAAGGGAGGGGGTGTTAGCAGTTTAAGTCAATTAATTGAATTGATTTTTAGAATCACTCTATCCAGCTGATGAAATGTTGGAACTCCTTTAAAAACTAGGGTTTTTTTCCAGATAGCAGAATAAAGGGTGGGAGGAAGTGATGATAAATCCATGTAATGCTTTCGAAGAGTGTCAGTACGTTTGTTGGAACTTTTTGTATCATTCTGAGTTTTTGCTATAGTTTTCTGTTTCTGCATGATTCACCAGTGACTTCAAATTATTTCTGTGATCAATTGAAGGCAATATTTAAACTACTTTTTAAATGCCTGTTTATCAAGTGTTGAAAGATATGCTTAAGTATCTTAGGTTACAGTTGCTTGTAGATTTCAGCTGGACTTGGAATAATTGATCCATTAAAGCAAAATAATTCAGAACTGATTTTATACATATGAACCTTATACAGTATACTATTCCATGTGTTGTTCAATTCTCTGTAGTGTATTTTATATACATGAACATTGTGCAAATGTGCACACAGATTAAAAATTAGGCTGTTACAGACCATGTACATTAATGGGAGATAAACATAGAGAAGAGCAACAAAGATGACTAGGGCATTTGAGGCTAAAACATATAAAGAACAGTTGCAAGAATTGGGTATGTCTAGTTTAATGAAGAGAAGGACGAGGGGGGACATGATAGCAGGGTTCCAATATCTCAGGGGCTGCCACAAAGAAGAGGGAGTCAAGCTATTCTCCAAGGCACCTGAAGGCAGGACAAGAAGCAACGGATGGAAACTCATCAAGGAGAAAAGCAACCTAGAATTAAGGAGAAATTTCCTGACAATGAGAACTAATCAGTGGAATGGCTTGCCTCCAGAAACTGTGGGTGCTCCAACAGTGTAAGTTTTAAAGAAGAGATTGGACAACCATTTGTGTGAAATTGTATAGGGTTTCCTGCTTAAGCAGGGGGTTGGACTAGAAAACCTCCAAGGTCCCTTTCAACTCTGTTATTCTGTTATATTCATTTAAGTGACACAACTCACTTCCTCTGGATTTGAGGATGCATTCATGCCCAGTTTGGTAGTGCTCTTACAGCATCCTAATCTTTGGTAGTTTTAAACTTTAGTACAGCCAATGGCACTAACTGATGTTAAGACAAAATTTAACATGTGCAAATCCAACTAAGTCTAATCTGAAGTCTAAAATCAAGAACATCTCCTAAATCAGCCTTTATGGAGCCATGTGCTAAGATTATTTTATGTGATAAGAAATTACATTTTTCTTACTCTCATTTAAAAAAGAGCCTGGATCCAGCACCAATCTAAATCAAGATCTATGAACTAGCATAGCAGAAAATGCCTTTTGAGTGGGTTAATACTGACTTAAATTAAGAATAAACATCTTTGATTTGTACTATCATGTATTAGGATGACAAAAAGACACACATAAAATATATTTAAATGAAAAGGGAAGTCTTAATCATCCTGATAAAAAGCCATGACCTAAGTCTTTTTCTAATGATTTACATTTTTAACCCCTGTATACATTTAGCAGTGTACCAAGGGTGGGGCAGAAAAAAAAGGATCCGTCTTTTTTTTTTTAAAAAAAAAAAAATGGAAGGGGCTTGATTTTGTAAACCTGATAGAAACGAGCCCAGTTTATTGGTTTCAAGTTCACAATCTTAGTCTGCATGCTGGACCTCAAGAAAAATCCAGACCCTCCAGATATATAAATATACTGTACATTTTTGCTAGCTTTCTGTTATATGCACTGTAATGAAATGTGATGCAATATGTTGTATTTAGCTGTGTGTGAATGAAAATTATGCTCATGTTTAGCAAAGCAGTTAATGTGAATATGTGACATGCAATATGTGTAAAGATTACTTTTTATTTTCTGCCATTTTTCATGAACCCTCAAGTAACTCTGTATACATGAACTGTGGTGGGAGCTTTCCCCCCCCTTCCCCCACAGATTAGGTTAAAAATAAACAGACCCACTGTTTGCCATGGGATCAGTATTTTTTGTTTGGTTTTACTTGTAGGCATGTGCCTTCATTTGAAACATTTTAAAGTGTCTGTTGTTAAGCACAACCGGGATGAAAAGATTCTACGTGACATAAATAGGATAACAGTCCAATCGGATGACAGCCAAGGTAACCCTTTGCAATATTGGCTTTTTGATATCATGTGTAGTTACAACTTCACTGGAATGCATACGGTCAACGGGTTTACTTTGCAGATAAGCAGCCCCTTTCTGACATTCTACAATTCCAGTGTCAAGTGAAGATATTTCCTATTCCAAAGACAGTAGCCTTTGCTGAACTCTGCCCCTGAACATTTCATGGACATTTTGGCAGTCCAAGGAGTAACTTGGTTGGCTTGGAGTAACTCTCTACTGGGGCCCTGAGGGAGATGCAACCAGTTGTTAGATTCAGATCACAGAGACTGATTGGATGGCATTTTGGCCAGAACCTATTAGTTCTTTGAGGACCAGCCTTTTTGGTTGACCTTATAAAACAAAATCCCTCGATCGCTTAGTTCAACTAAAGATACCATGAGCTGGGTTGAAATTTAAATTATGAATTACGTGGCTTTTCATGAAACATAAAGATGATCTGAGTCCAACAAATACTTGGATTACCAATAGTTATTCCTTTCATTCAGCCTTTTTCACCTTGGTGTCTTGATAAGAAGCACTGATCGTTAGCTAAATTACCTAGAAGATTGACTGAACACATTTGCAGGGGAATCAGAATATGGAAGCCTGGATTAGTTTCTTCAGTCTGTTATCCTGCAAGTTTTCTGAACATCAATACCATTGGGGGGAGGATCATGTTTCCTATCTCCCTTAGAAGATGAAAAAAAGATAGGATCAAAGAAATGGATAGATAGAAAAGGATACGACAGAAGAGATGATAAAGTTTGCGACACTGCTCCAGTAGAATGGATTGAGACTTAATTCCCAGAATGTTGCTTCAATAGCTGCCTATAGCCATCTTGAGTTCATTTTTATTGAGAAAAAAGACTACAGATCTTCATCAGTACACATGCACTTCTGATTTCATCATGGTGCAAAAGCCACTATTGATTTTAAATGTTTCTAAAGTATTATGCAGTTATTTTTAATAGTAATAAACACTGGTTTTAAGTAAGTGTTGATAATCTAAACCAAATTGTACGTTCACTTTGGCAGTACTGCAAAGAAATCTTTGGATTTTTTTAAAATAATAAAATAATTGGAAAGTTGCAGGTTTAACAAAGTAGATTTTTGGCAATATAAGCAAGTTAATGTCTGAGTTTTTCATAATCAGAAGGATTGTTTCTTTTGTTCCTGCTGCAACTGAACTGAACAAAATATCCTTTTTTTTTTCTTTTTTTTTTTGGTAAAACACAAATACACACTTTGGAATCCTAAGGAGGTAACAGCTTCAGGCTCCATTCCTGAACATATCTGTATAGTCTTCATTTGCTTATCCTGCCTTATTTTTTCTCAGCTCAAGGCTCTGTACATGCCTAACGCTCCTGTTTTCTTCTGTTTCTCTCTTCATTATTTGAACAAACGTTTTAGAAATGTTAGCACATTTTCAGTTTTGCTGTTTTAATAGAATGAAATAATAGTACAAAACTTTACAGGTATTGTTTATTAAATGAAACTAGAAGCCAGTTAACATTTGCACTGAACGGTGAGGTGAAATCTGAGCAGTTAGTTATACCGCTAATTTGGCCATGAGGTGTGCTTCAAAGCAAAGGTGTCAAGGCAACATTTTCGCCAGGCTTCCTTAATAAGCAACATGGGAATAACGTTCAACCTGAAAACACAGCTGAGCTGCCCTACACCAGTTACGTTCCAGAGGTTGCAGCAAGTATCTTTGCAAGAGTTGAGACATCTGGGCCAAACAGGAGGAATGGCCAGCGTGCCAGTAAAATGGAGCAAAATATTAAAAATTCTGGCTGCCCGTTTGAAAAAATTGATATTTTTTGATATTTACGTATACACAGAACCAACTACGACCACAAACAGGAGTCAGTGTTTTATTATTTAACCTTTCGAAAGCCAATTGTGTTCTTTTGAAGTACCAAGATGAGCCATTCTTCAGAACAGAATCAAACAGAGAACGTCTGGAGGGCGAGATTAAAGGGGTCATTTGCCAAAAGCACAAGGATGTATTCAATTCCCTGACACTCTTGTCACACCAGCTGCATGTTTGTCCCCGAGATATATTCTGTGGGCCTCTTTAACAAATCCTAAGCATCCAAGAGTGTCTGTGCCTTGCAAAGTGACCCGTTGTACTGCCCCTGACTCAAACCCCAGATTGATGAGGGGCTTCTTCACTACATACTGTGGTGGCTCCTTTTCCAACAAGCCAATCGCATGAAGCATGCATGGGATCAAATAAGATTTGCCCGTTTTAAAAAGTAAAAAAAAACAAAACAAAAACAAAGATGCTCGCCATTATGTCAACAACCAAACAGATTAAATTAAACACAGTCCAACAAAGGCCGAACCGAACGGTAGTTTAAAAACAAGACAAAACAAAACCGTATTTAAAACTAGCAGAACTATGCCGTGTTCTTAGCAGGCTCATCCTTGTTTCTTCGCTTTACATCCCAGTTATAAACTCTGGCCATATCTGCAGACAGAGATTAAGGAAGGTATGGTTCAAAAGCAGACACAATTGCCTCGCATTTCCCTAATGCTTCGCTGACACCAAGGCAGGTTTATTTAGGACTGTAAAGAGCTCCTCCATGGTGCTTAGGAAACAGGAAAGCTGATTTTCCCAAGCCAATGCCTCCCAGATGGATTTGAAATTCCCATAATGCCACAGCCAACACAGATAGGCCGAGGAATGCTGATAACAAATTTCATGGAGGCTTTTTCGCTACCCCCTGTGAAGTTCCCCTTTTAGTACATCCCAGATCACCTGCTTGTTTGGCGAAGCAGCAATGCTCATTGGAGTAAAATTGCTCTCAACTGAGAGAACAGAATATTGGTAACCAGAGAGTTTATTCGTCCGTAGTGTTGAAAAATCTGTCTGCTGATATTTGTTTAGAGGATCAATTGCTTCACCATCTACTAAAGAGAGACATGGGGTGAAATTCTTCCCACAGGATGCTCAAGTAGCAGCTTATAATGATACAGGGGGGGGAGGGAACGATTACTCCAGGCTCCAATTCATTAGAAGAGGGGATCCCTTGTTCTTTTAACAAGCAGCCCGGTGAGAAAATAGCAACAATTCAGGAAGGAGCCTAGAGATAGGCAGAGATGCAAATCGGTCCACTCAGCAATTTTCCATACCTGGTTCAGAAAAGATACTATAATCTTTTGGAATTGTTTGGAATTTTTCCTGAAAGGGAGCCCTAAAATAAGCAATGTTTTTAACTAAGCACATGGAGGACCCATTTGCTTTTCCTGTACAGGTAAAGAGCTTGAAGTCCAGGTTGAATCTGCACATCATCAAAAAAAAAAGTAAAAATAATAACCTAAAGGCTTAAGTTTATATGCAAGAAGAACTATGTTATAAATGATCAAAATAGGGATTTTTTTTTTACACAGACACGCCGTTGATTATGCATCCACTGTAGTTAAATGGATTTGACGGTACCTGGCTCTGAGAGTCCATTTTGGCTGAAATAGGCAATAGAAATACAACTTTTGGAACTGCAATTCCTTGACACCCGATGCTTTCTTGAAGTAGCTTGAGAGCAAAGGCAACGAACAGCCTAACATTTGAACCTCAAAAAGGATACTGACTTCTGTAGTTGTAAATTGATCTCTAAGGAAATCCAAATCTTCTTCTAGGGACTCGAGGTTTTTTGTAGCTGTGCTAAGATTTTTTTCTAGCAGTGCCTGGGCTTCGTCAATGTCATATTCCAGCATAACATTGGCCTAAGGGCAGCATTTAAATGAAAAACAAATATTTTTTATGATTTCTTGAAATCAAGGTAGAGTTGAAGCTTTTGCCATTCATATTAGCTCTAGGCATTAAGTAGAGGCATGTAATTGGGACTAAGGATGGTGAACTCTGAGCTCGCTTGTTCCTCTCCTTGTGTCGTGTTGAACTTCATACCACAGCAGTGACGCACCCAATGCCTGAGAAACCAGAAATCTGACACCTAATAGATTACTAAAGCTTGAAAATTGCAAATATAATGGACCCAGATGATCTCTGAAGTATGTCACGGAAGATCAGAATCACGTTACTGACCAGCAACTTTAGTTCTTGACTCATACTTTGTTTCAGGATATAACTCTCTGTTTAACAAATATTTCTAAGCTGGCAAACTATGCTTTACAAGGAAGCCGTGGAAGAAAATTACATTACATTATAGTTTGCCATATCAGATATAATAAATAGAAAAGAATAAAAAGAAAGAGTTTTGTAGTTTACTCTCAAACTTCAAAGTTTGGTGTCAGCATCTAAAACAGGGGTGTCAAACTGCCGGCCTGCAGGCCAGATGCATCATAGCGAAACCGTGCCCACCCCATTGCCGGCAATGGCAAAAAAGTCACAATACGTTGCAACACGTCACATGATGTTGCAAGTTTGACACCCCTGATCTAAAATAAGTTTGTTAAAATGACATCACTGGGTTCCCGTGAAAGTGATTTAGGTATTCTTGTGATTTAAAAAGTCCTGCCATGTAAGCAAATGAGTCACATTAAATTTTTACTAGAAAATTCCCAATATGTTACAACCATATTTAGAAATACAATATATTCAGCATCGGAAGAGGTGCTTAACTTTCTACTAATTACTTACCCCTAACCAGAGACAAACTTTATCTGTAGGAGGAACTGATGCTTTACAGTAGACATTATCTGCCAGTAAGAATCTGGTTTCCATCAGATCTGTAGATTCCTTTGGAAAGAATAAATCAACATAATCAAAGCAAAGATCTGTAGAGTACTTTTTAATTTTCTATCATGATGAAAATACTTAATATCTAAAGCTAGCCTTTTTTTTATAACTAATGACGTAGTGATGTATACAAGATATTTCACTGAATTTGCCTAGGAATACATATATCGCTTAGAGCTAATGAATTATTTCATTTTTCAATTGGACGTGGAAAATGATACTATATTCCAAAACGAATTCGCTCAGATAAATTATATGATTCAAAAGTGATTAGGGTTAGCCGTAAAATTGGGCAAGACTCACTTAAAAATCCCCTTGCTTACCAACGGAAATTCTGGGCCCATATGTGGTTGTAAGTCAAGGACTACCTGTACTTACCTTTTTCTTTTGCATGTGTTTTAAGATCTCTAGTGTCTGTTTAATTTCAGGAATTTGACTTTTTAACCTGTAAAATAACATATTGAAAATATTATTTTTGTCATTCTGTCTTTTGAAAGATTTGTATTAAAAGTGTAGAAAGTAAGGAAGATGACCTTGACAGAAATATACAGAAACTGTTACCTAGGCAAAAGAGGTGAAGCATTTTTTAAGCTCTGAAAGATGAAGTGGCACATCCCTGATTCACTGGCATACAAAAAGGGGATGGAAGTACAGCACAGTCAGACTTGCAAGATTGTGTTATTATAACCAATCTTAATAAAAGTACTTTTAGCCTTTTGTGGAATTCATTTCCTGGACAGTCCAACCAGTTGGGCTGGCAATAAGCGAGACCGTGGATGTTAAACTTTCTCTCAGGCAGAAAATAGCTGAGTCACAAATAAGTTACTTGCACACACCATTGTGACCACGCATGGCAACCCCTCATAACACCTAAAAAGAAAAGCATTCCCTTCAGATATAAATGTAGGAACCAGGACCTACTGCCAGTTTATCCACCTCTGAGCTGATACAGCATTTTTTTAAAAAAAAAAAAAAAACTTTCAGTGTTCCCCATTACTGGATGGGGAATGAGCATCAAAAGCTCTACTTGTGGCAGAATAATTGTTTTACTATATTTTATGCAATTTCTTCCTATAGTCTCAAATGTATTTCAGGACATACGTCATATATACGTGCAGTTATGAATATTTGAAAACCAGTAATCACAAAGCTAGTTGTAAATGTGGTGTAAATTATTTTGTTAAACTTTTCATATATATTTAACAAAATAATTTATACCACATTTATACTTGGCAGAGATGGGCCCAAATTTTAGAACAGCCTTTGTAAAAGAATATTGGAAACATACCCACCTTCTTTTCTTCTGGGCAAGGTTAAGCTCCATAAATTTGTATTTTTGATATTGTTCATCCAGCTTCTTGAGCACTACATCTGCGGTCTCATTTCCTGGCTGTTTCATGAAAGAATCTACATCTTCCTTAAAATAAGAATACACATATATTGTTAATTGCAAAAACACAAGATCAGGGCTGATGAGCCAATATCTTGTTTGTTTGCTTTTCTCACATCCTGGCAAGAAGGATTGGCCAAATTGGACAATTGGCCCATGACTGAAATGCTCTTGGGTCTGCTCCTCAAAATCATTTCCACCTACTGGTTCACTTAGTCCAGGGGTAGGCAACCTTGGCTCTTTTATGACTCGTGGACTTCAACTCCCACAATTCCTGAGCCAGCATGGCTCAGCTGGGAAACCTCTCCCTCAGCATGGCTGGCTCAGGAATTCTGGGAGTTGAGTCCACGAGTCATAAAAGAGCCAAGGTTGCCTACCCCTGACTTAGTCGGTCTGGTTAGCTGAAAGGGAAACAAACACGGGTGGAGGAGACACAAAAGTAAAGCGCTGAACTGAACTCCTAGAAAATGTATAGATACCTGTTCATGCTCTTTCCTAGGCAACTACACAATATGCTTCTTCCAGAAAATTTCCTGTCTTCCCAGACTGGTCCAAACTAAGAGTATTACAGCATAACAATAGAGTAACAGCCTAGATTTAACTCTCTTTTTTGGTTACAAAATTGGTTGGGAAATCTTGGACTGACCATTATCCCTCTGCTTAGCATATTTTATGGAATTAAAAAAAAATTAGGTGGATGAAGAACCAGCAGTCAATGGAAAAGACCCTGCAATCGACATTCTAGAAAAGATGGCAGATAAGTATGGTACAACCAAGAAAGCACTTTCTGTATTAAAAGAAAAAAATCTTGGACCCAAGAACTGCTCTGCCAATTAGGTTTGTGATGTAGATCCACACCAGGAATACAATAGCTCCATTCAGCTTGGCTCCTTCAGTATCTGGCAAGACAAGCATTGGCAAGAATCCTGCCCTTTGGGGTATTTTTTTGTTGTTTTGTTTTTTGTCCCTTTGACCCCGTCTTGACTTCTGGTCTTGACCTGGATGAGTCTTGCCTTGCCTTCTTCTTGGGCTGAGAATGACTGAGACCACAGTTAACTGGTTAGCTTTGTTTCTAAGGTTGGATAAGACTCCTAATGTCTAGATTGGTGCCTTAGCCATGAAACCCAGCTGCTCCCTACTGGAAGTGGTTTGTCCTTACTCGTCACACTACTTTCTTCATAAAGCTATGAGAGGGAGATTGCCCCAAGGTCCTCCAATTATCTTTATGTCATAGGCAGGACTGTAACTCAGTCTACCAGTTCCTAGTCTGGTGGCTTCAACCCCAATGCCAAGCTGGCTGTCTTTGCCTTTAAGCCAGACACACTCTGGGCAACTGCCTAGATGAGTCCCTGCAGGGGCTCTTTTGGGCAACATTTTTGGAAGTGTTTTGGAGATGAGGGAGAATGAGTGGCCCAAAGTCACTCAGCTGGTTTAGTGCCTAAGGCAGGGCTTTTCAACCTTTTCACCCATTGTACCACTTTTAGGATATGGCAATATCCGAGTACCACCAGTCGCCTAGCAAGGTGTCAAAAACTTGATGACCAAAAAAAAAAAAAAAAAAAGGAAAAAAGTGATAAAGTACAGGTAGTCCTCGACTTACAACAGTTCGCTTAGTGACTGTTCAAAGTTACAACGGCACTGAAAAAAGTGCCCCCCAAGCCACAGCCGAGCAAGATCCCTGTCTGCCCTCCCGGCGGCGCTCTTCCTCCTGTCTGAGGTTTTCATTGTTGTGAGCATTTCTGTTGAGGATTGGCAGCGGGGGTGGGGTGGGGTGTTTGGTTTTTATTCCCCCTGTCTGCTGGGTGGTTGCAGCAGGTTTTGGTCACTTCACATGACCCTGGGACACTGTCACCGTCATAAATATGAATCAGTTGCCAAGCATCTGAATGTAAATCACAAGACCCTGGAGAGGCTGCAACATTCCAGCTGATCGGCGCTTCTTCTGGGCTCAGCATTCCAGCTGGAGCCTGGCGCTGATCCTGGCACTTCCACTGAGCCCTGACAGCCCTGCAGCTCCAGCCATCTCTCGCTCAGGCTTGTGCGGTCCTGCCAACCGATTCAGCTCATTCCCCTCCCCCACTACCCCTTTTCTAGGATGGTCGTGTACCACCTGCCAGGTGCCAATGTACCACAGGTGGCACCCGTACCACTGGTTGAAAAGCTCTGGCCTAAGGCAAGACTAGAATTCGCAGTCTCCTGGTGGTTGGTCAAGAGGAGCCCAGCTGGCTTTCATGCCTAAGGCAAGACTAGAACTCACAGTCTCCTGGTGGTTGGCCAAGAGCAGGGGTAGGCAACCTCGGCTCTTTTATGACTCATGGACTTCAACTCCCAGAATTCCCGAGTCAGCATGGCTGACTCGGGAATTCTGGGAGTTGAAGTCCATGAGACATAAAAGAGCCGAGGTTGCCTACCCCTGGCCAAGAGGTACCCAACTAGCATTCCTGCCTAAGGGAAGACTAGAAGTCACTGACTCCTGGTTTCCTGTCTGCTTCCTTTGACTCCTGGGCCAAACTGGCTCTTGACCACCTCATCCTCCATAAACTTCCACAAACTCCTTTTAAGACCACACCACTTTCAGTCTCACCTCTACACCACAGGGTACCAAAACCAGGCAGGAAAACTAAGCTCCCCCCCCCACTCATTTCCACCATTACCTGCTGGGGATGCTCCCCCAAGGATAACAAAGGCAGGACAGGACAGGACAGATGCCTGGGGCATTGGATGCCCTGGATCTATAGAAGCCAAACTGAACTAGCTCCTCTATAGGAAAGTGTTTGTTTTATTGATATCCTTTACTATGTTTGCAAATAATTCAAGCTACCTAGAGTAGCCCCAGAGCAAAACTTAACAAATAAAGTGGCAAACATACCTAAAACTCCTTTCCCTTTTTATTTACCCCAAAACAACCACCCTGTGAGGTGGGTTGGGCTGAGAGAGAGGGGGGGGGAGGAGGGACTGGCCCAAGACGGTCTTTGAACAGAACTGAGCCTCCACCTTTCAAAGGCAGTATACCGGTAAGTTAGGCAGCAGATTCCCAGCTCCCACGGACTACAGTGCCCAGAATCCGCAGCCAAAGCTGTGGGAGTCACCACCCGCACCCCGATCGGGAAAGGCCGCCGCTTCGGCCCTTCCCACCCAGGAACAAGCAACGATCAGCCCCGCCGACCCCGGCCGGAGAAGGAGCCTCCATGGAGAAAAGCAGTCTACCTACAACGGCCGGCCGGCCGCGCGGGCCCTAACCGTCCCTGACAGAAACGGAGCGCGCATGCGCAGGAGAAAGCGGGCGGTTGGAACGCCGCCGGTGGCCGCCGCCGCTTTCCCCCCCCCCCCGCGTCCCGGCCGCTTCGCCAAACCTTTCCCCGCCCCCTCGCTTACGACGAAAACGGCCTCGGGGATGCCCAGGTGAGTCCTCTTGCCGCCGTCGCCGGTGCCGCTGGCCGGGCCGTCGCCACAAACCGCCTCGCCGCCGGTGGCCGCCGCCATCTTGGGGAGGGAAGGCAACCGCGGCTGGCGCGCGCCGTCACGCCCGCGCCCGCATGCGCGCTGCTGCGGCTCAAGCCTTCCAGAGGGGGGGGGCGTTACCAGGTGTCACAATCGAGGCGGGTCCTAACGCTCCCATTGGCTAAGGAGGCGCGCGCTTGCCCGCCCACCCCCCGCCGGGACTTGTTTAAGGGAGGGGTGGCTGGAAGAGGGGGGGGGCATCCCCGGCGAGGATGCTCAAGGCTCGTGGGCTTGAATGGTGGCTTCTTGAACAAGCCAGAATGGACTGGTTTATGGGAGAAGTGGCAGAGCTGGTTAAGGCTGGAATGCATCGGAGGGACAAGTGCAGGTTGCAATCTCAGTTCAGTGCAAACACTGAGAGCTTCTCTCTTCTCTTCTCCCTTCCCCTATTCCAGTGTTTCTCAACCTTGACAATTTTAAGGCATGTGGACTTCAACTCCCAGAATTCCACAGCCAGCAATGCTGGCTGTGGAATTCTGGGAGTTGAAGTCCACATGCCTTAAAATTGTCAAGGTTGAGAAACACTGCCCTGTTCCTATTCCAGATTCGTAACTGCAAAACTTTGACCTTCAGGCTTTCCCATCTTCTTTCTTCTAGCGTTGTGGCGATGCGTGGTGACCTGACATCCCTTTTGCATCTTGCCCTTCAGATATATGCGTTTTCCCCGTGTGAGGTGTAGTTGCTTTTTCTGGGCACGAAGGGGATCTTTATCCCTAAGAATTTTAGGAAGCTTTAAAAACGCCAATTGCAGTCGAAAGGTGCGGACGAGCTTTGAACTCCACTTCCCCGCATCGCTGTGATTTCGTTTTATTGAGCCCCCGAGTTTTAAGCAGCCCTTCGTTTATTTATGCCTGCTGCAAGCCAAAACTTCTGCAGTCCCAAAGGACAGGGGCCACAATTTCCCAAAAACAAATTGCAAACACTTTTGTGGTGGGAGACAGAAAAACACAGGGAGTACCAAACATGAAACTAACCCCTTCCCCCCCCTCCAAAAAAAAAAATCTCAGGGAAAAAAATTGTTCTGCTGCCCTCGTCAAACCCAGTGTTGGTTCCCAAATCACTAGATGTGCGCACATCCACACACACCCTGGGCGAAAGGGATAAAACTAAAGCAGTGTTTCTCAACCTTGACAATTTTAAGGCATGTGGACTTCAACTCCCAGAATTCCACAGCCAGCAATGCTGGCTGTGGAATTTTGGGAGTTGAAGTCCACATGCCTTAAAATTGTCAAGGTTGAGAAACACTGAACTAAAGTAACTAGTTTGCTTCTTTGGGAATCCCTGCTTCATCTATTTTCCTTGCATATTTATTAGGTGGTTTCCCATTCTCTAATTTTGAAGACCCAGCTCTCTGGAAAAGGCTTCTAATGCTGGGAAAGATGGAAGGAAAGATGACGGACAGCAGCAAGGTGGAGGGACTCGGTTGCAGTGGCATTGAGGGAAGGGAGTTGGCTGACTTGAAAGGGTCAAGCTATTCTCCAAAGCACCAGAAGGCAGGACAAGAAGCAACAGATGGAAACTGAACAAAGAGAGAAGCAACCTAGAACTAAGGAGAAATTTCCTGATAGTGAGA